TTCATTCTCCCAGTATAAACCAAGTTTTTCAAACGTAATCTCAAACTGGTAGAGGGCAATGTCGTATTTGACCATGTCTAATACTAATCTTTACGTGTGAGATTACATTTGACTTAATTACATGTACCTTAGTTAGTACTCCAACCTCTTTTAAAACAACCTAATTTCTTTTTGCTATGAGCTCTTCCTCTCACTTCTAATAAAAGGATAAAACAGAGACTCATCACTTCTTTGCTTTTATTCTACCATTACCGAGTACTAACAACAACAACAACAACAACAACCAATACCTCAGATGCTAGTGTCAATTCTATTTCAGTGGATAATGTCTCTTCCTCCTCGCCTAGTGATGTTTCTTTAACGTCTAATTTATATAATCATAACCAAAAGATCTTTTACATACAATCAGGTCAATCCATCTGTAAGAATTATTTTAGTCTTCCTGAAAATGAGAATTAGCAGTTGTTGAATGAAGCTCATAACTAAACTGGCCATTATGGTGCAGAACAAATGGTCAAACGCCTTCATGATCAAGGTATTCACTGGCCAAATCTCATTTCTGATTGTGTGAAGCATAAAATTGCAAAGAAAGGATATCATCCTCTAAGAAGCATTTATAGCTATTATCCTGGTGATCACTATGCTATTGATTTAAGTGGCCCTATTTCTATGTCTTCTACTTATAATAATGGTTATTGTTGATGTATGCACTCGTTTCTACATCATTGAGCCCTTAACAGATAAAAAGTCTGATACCATCGCTCGAACACTTGTAGATGTATTCTCTATCATGGAATTCCCTACTAAACCACAGAGTGATAATGGTACTGAATTTAAGAATTAACTTACAAAAGCACTTGCTGATGCCATGGAATATGATCATAGATTCATCGCTCCTCTTCACGCTTCTGCAAATGACTTGAATGAACGCTTTATCCAATCTGTTAAAAAGATGTTGGCAAAAGCTACAAACTGTGTTGGTAATGACTGGGATACCCATCTTCCTGCTATCCAGCTCGCGTTAAATAATAGAATCTCTAAACGCTTGAATTCATCCCCTTTTTCGTTGATGTTTGCTCGTAAAATGAATGAACCACATGGTTTTCGTTCTGACAAAGACAAGCTTAAGCAAGTCGAAGGTAAGCCACCAATGTCTCATGAAAAACTGATGAAACGCATCGACTACATGACTGACATTGTCTTTCCTGCTATTGTCGACAAAACCAAAGCACAAGTGGAACTTGAACAAGCTAAATTCAACGATTCACATAAGCTTGTTGACTATGCTCCTGTGAAAGCAATCACAAGATAGTTTAAATAGGCGCCTCTTCTGATCCTGTTTGCTGGCGACAGGGTTCTATATATTGGCTCAAAGATTAAGGGTTTCCTAAAGTATTTTAGAAATTGGATTAAGAATAGTCTGTACACGACTGTGTGCGTCACAAATGAGCATAATACATCACAAACCCGCTTGCTTTGTTTCAGGAAAAAACAATACAGTAAACTTCAAGCAAGTAAAGGTAACTTTGTCTGCATGAATCCAAAAATCCAATCAGTATATAATATAGCTACAGTGTAAACTATAGGATATATAAATACTTTAAAAAATTCTGACAATGCTTTACTAAGCTCTATATGCTACCTATAAGAACACGTTATACTCCCCTTGAAAAGACGCTTGGTGCTTGAAACAATGATGGCAGCGATTATTTAAAGTGCCGCTAAAACACCGACTTTGAGTAGATTGGCATTTTCTTTTTTTTCTTTGCGCAATCTATTGGAAGAATGGTTCAATCGAGTATTATAGTTCCTACACATAGCAGTACAGCTTCAAATAAAAGAGGGGTGGATGACTCTAGTGATAAGGATAAAGAAGTAGGATCAAGCTCAGAACTGGTACAATTACATTTTGCTTGTTATTTAACACATTTATTAATAAAATTCAAGCAGATCAAGAGACCACGATTAGACATGACTGAAGCTGGTCGAGATCGTAATAAAAGGCTCTTTGGTGTTTTGCTAGGAACACTCAATAAATTTAAAGATGATACACAAAATACAAGCGAAGTGGTAAATCCTATCAAGTACTTTAAAGTGTAATCTCTTAATTTTACTTTGCAGGACAAAAGACGAAGAGAAATCAACCAAAAACTTCAAGAAAAACTTGATTTAGAGAAAAAAGCAATGGCTGAAAGAACAGAGGCTCGAAAACTCGAGAAAGAGCGAATGGAGCAGATGAAGAGACAAGAAGAAGAGCGAATTCTTGCCGAGAAAAGGGTAAGATTGATATATAAATGACGGTTCTGTATATAACCGATGGCTCATTAGGAACTTTTTGAAGTACAACAGAAGAAAGTGTTGGCTAACTTTTTGAAAACAACAACGGAACCAGTTTTGTATTATTTACCTAGTAAATTAACTGACGAAATGTCAAAAACAATAGACATGCAAACACAAGATGCATTGACAGCCAAAAAGAGCTTTGAAGAACGTCGAGAAAGGCGTATGATAGGATTAAGAAATGATAGCTTATCAGAGAATGAAGACGAAGATACCTAGATTCTCATTGAAAGGAGTTTTATTTTATAAAGTGACAGAAAATAAAGATGTACAAAAAAAAGCAGATAGAAAAAATATGATTTCAAAGTGAAGAAAGAAAACAAAAGTTGATGACGATTCGACTGTTCTCTACGCTATTTCTCCATCAAGAAGAAAGACTTCTTTTGTTTTGAGGGGATTGTCGTCAGAAAGCTTGCTTTTGTTTGTTGATGCTGTTATTTTTATTTGGGGGAAAGGGTATCGTCTTAAGTTATTGGTTTTCTTGTAACAATTGATCCAACAGCTTTTTATGACCAGGTCCTTTTAATTGCTCTAAGCTTGCACAGACGTGTTGGCGTAAAATAGATTTTTGTTCGTCACTAAGTGAAGGACATGCTAATACTTTTTGAATAAAATTAAGTCCACGTAACTGATCTGATAAAATTTCTAATAAAATATTTTCTACACATAAGCTATTAAATATTTTGTCTTGGGATTCTACGTCAGTCGATTGATTGATTAGTTTGTAAACAATTTGTGAACCGAGCTTATGAGTACAAAGTTGAGCCATGTTATTGGTTAGTTGGTGGGCTATTACTCGCATTCGGTTGGCAATATGAGTCGATTCTATCAGCCAAGATATCAGTAATGCACCATTTGCATTTGTTGATAATGAAGTAGCATTTTGGCAAAGAGCTGCAGCAACAAGTATCTACAAGTGCATTTTGTTAGGATTACCTAAAGACAATCAATGGATGCTTTACCTTTTGGTCCTCTGTTACATATTCGCTTTCAAGGATTCCACGCATGGATCTTGCACCAAATCTACCTTGAGCGATAATCATCAGTTTTTCAACCATAGCATCGAATATGAAACCGTTGTCTGCATCTTGTCCAAGGCGGAGGTAACATTGTACAGCGTAGTTTCCAAATTGATCCAGCAATAAAGGAGGAATATAAGGCTGAAGGTGTTGACGAATTAATTCAATCTGTCTTGGTGTCTTGGCAAGGTCGATTATTTTCTGTGTTGCCCAAGTACCATTTTTATGGACACTATTAGCTGCCAAGTGAGGGCCAATTCGCTCTAGCATGAGTGTCTTTGTATCTTCGCTGCATTTCTCAAATAAACGTTGAACAAGCGTATTACCAATATAATCTACCAATTGCTTAGAAAACAAGCTGTCGTTCCTTACTCATCATCTTACCACTTGTAATTTCAGCTATTTCATCCATGCATTCAAATGCAATCACTTCCGCTTCTTGAGCTCCGTCTTCAGCGTTGTCAAGCCTTTTACGTATTTCCTTTAAACGGCTGGAGTCAAACTTTCGACCGGCACCTAGTTCTGGTACTGATGGTATATAATCATGGTAAAAGGAAGTTGTTCTTAAATCTACAAAAAAAAGCAATAAATACCCAAAAAGATATGTCCGTAAATAGGTAATGTGCTTACGGGATATTGATGACAGGGTGACTTTTTCTCCAACGCCCAACTCTTTCATAATCTCGTAAAGCTCCTTCTGCCAGTCCTCTATGGTCATTTTGTCGTTCACATTCTTTTCTATAGATGATGACTTTGGAGTGCTAGTGAAAACTTCGATTCTTTCATTTGCAGGTGTCGATGCACTTGAATCGCTATTTCTTGTTGAAAGGGTAGGTGTAGATGGAACTTTAGCAAAACCGACGCGAGCTGTTGAAAAACCAGGCGCAAAGATTTTGTTCTGTAGCAAAGCATCGCGTGCTGCAACTGCATCTTCTACAGTCTCAAAATTGATAAAGCCACAGTTTTTATGTGACAGAACTCTGACAGATTCGATTGTGCCAAATGTGCCGAAAATACTCTGGAGCGAAGCTGGTGTTGTGTTTCCAGGAATATTACCTAGCCCTATAGAATGTGTTATTACTGACTCTTTTTGTATGTTTGACAATAATTACACAAGGCACGAGTAGGTTGAGATACATTTGTTTCTGTAACTGCAGCATCTGCTTTACCAAATCCTATCCTAACTATACAGCTTCCAATTCTTCCACCCATGTGAGTAAGAACATCTTCTTTCGCACGTACTGCGTCCTCGATATGAAAAAAGTTGATGAACGCACATTCCTTTTCTAACAGTAGTCGTACACTTTCAATTGGACCAAACATTGAGAACACTTGTGTTAGTGTTTCGATGGTGATTGAATTATCAATGTTTCCAACCCAAAGTGATCTTGAATGCTGTTGATTAACATTTTGTGCCTGAAAGTTTTCTTTAAAGGTAGGAGTAGATTGGCTAAACGTTAAGTAGGGCTTCTAAAAGTAAATTGCAGTTAGATGTATAAATTATATATAAATAGATGTGCTCGCTTGCCTCGGTTATAGATGCATTGCCATTCAAGATTTCCATTTGCTGATTTATTTCATTATTACTACCACTTTGCAAAATATTGGCCAATAGTTCAGAATCTCCAAGCGATAGTGCAGGTTGTTCATCAATCTCCTCTTCTGTCATTGCAACTAGAGGAGAGACTCGTTGCCCATTACTGCTGTTATTGCTATTCCAAAATGTTACTGAAGGATGCATCATATTATTTAATCTGCCAGCTTCTGCACGGCCCATACTAGCTGCACGGGGTCTATTTTGCTGTCTGTTGAATCCTTCAAGAGGGCTTACAAAGCTTAATCCTGTATTTTTCGCAAAGGTGGCAGGTAAACCCCCTTGGCTAACATTACTGTCTTCCATATCGTATCTAGCGGCGGCGTTTACAGAATAGGATCTATTTCTATTATTTCCTGATAAAAGAGATCGACTCGGCAAGTGGAATTCAGGAGGAGACTTGTGGTGAAAGAGACTGTTTGTAAGAATATCATCATTCTCCTTTTCTTGCTCTTTTTCGTGTTCATGATCGTCTTCCAGTCCTAAAGAGCGCATAGTTCGAGCAATAGAAAAATCGTTATCATTTTGCAATAGCTGTTCAGAGGAAGGAGAAAGTGGGCCGTCATGACCAAGTCCCCAAAATGAGGGCTCTACAGGAGGTAAGTTTAAGGAACCTGAGCGGTGACGACCAGCTTCAATGGTTGAAAGTAACAAAGCCGCTGAGGAATTAGTTGCGGGTCTATTTGCGATGGGAGGTTGAATAAAAGATGGCATTGTTCCTGCACGTGGACGACGAGTGATAGAATGTGAGGCAGATGAAGATGGTGGTTCCATACTTTGTACTGAATTTTGAAATGGCGTTGAAAAAGTAGGCTTTGGACGTATAAAATTTAAAGCAGATTGATATCCAAGACCATTGGATTGTACTTCATTCTCTTCAAAAAGTACTCCCAAGTCACTAATAAAAAAAGAGTAAACACAAAAACCAACTTGGACCTTGTTAATTCTTACCTTGAGTAGCCTGGGCCTGATACTTGCCTTAGAGGGCTCGGTTCTTTCATTCTTCAAGATTGGGCAATATTGATTAATAAAGATGAAGAGGAGCAGAAAAGGAGAGTGAGTCGAAATTATAAAAGGGCGGAGAAAAGGGAGAAGGAAAATCACAACACGGTTACACTATGTAAAATTCTAGATTAAAAAGTTTGCTCCTCATTTTCCTCATTTGAACCAAAACAATGAATAGTTGTCTTTTTTTAAATAAGGAGAAGAGCTTTTTATTGCTTCAATCGACTCATAATTAGCATCTTTTCGATACATAAACTGATCCTGCAATGGTCCTCTTGTTGCAACGGAGCACCTTTGGTTCGTTTGTTTAACTACGGATTCGTTTTTGCGCCATAGAAAGCAATAGCTTAGAAAGCGTGATCTCTTAAAGTGTTTAGCTTATAGAACTAACGCTTTAATAACAAAGAAAAGGAAATATTTATGAATGACAATGAGAGTTTTTTAAAACAGTTATGCTTCAAGATCCAAAGTATGGCTTTAAACAGTGAATAGCCGCATTATGAAGTTTGTAAAGTATATGCTTTTAATCAAACTGGCAATAAGATATTCTTGAATACGTTGCTGTATTAAAAGAAAACAGATGAACGTCAAATGTATTAAAGGCTTAATAACCTCATGAATTTGTGTCCCTTAAATTCAGGGGTTATTGATCAGTTTAATAAGGAAATCACTCCTTACATGAGATGAGATACCATGCATACTGCCGTTTTTCCAAACAAACACTAATTATTATGCAAGATGATTGCCTCAGTCAAAAGCTTGCAACAGTTCCTTGGTTGGGGAGTATACTTGATATGGTGATATATTCCGAGATATATATAAATATATATGCGCAAAGGTTGCCTCCCCTTTCTCCCTTTCTCATGATTCTACTGCAGAAACCAAGTCCAGCAGATTCCAAAGGAATGTCATTTACAAGAGTAGCAACTATAGAGCATATAAAAGTGGTTTTTGATCTAACAAAAATGAGAAAATACGTCAGATGAACTTGGATACAATCACAGTCATCAAAAGTATTATTTTAAATAAAATCTGTATAGATTCTAACTCCGTATTACTGCTATAATAAATAAATCTGACCCTACAGATGCAGGAGATTTGAGGCTGTTCCCCTTATTTTCAAACGCTAATTAGCATAAGTGTATAAAGGATGCTCTTTTATTTGATACAGAAACATGCAGCATAATTTAAATATATATGTTTACTCTAAACCCATTTTTATGCAGTGTAACATTGCCATGGCAACCATTCTTAAGACATTATACGTACAGTGTGCTTAACTCCTTCATTAAGCTATTGAGAGACCCATGCTTATAACTTTTTACAGTTATACATTATCATATATGCTTGAGCTTATCCCATAAAGTGTTTGTATTCAACTTGGGTAAGTAGCTTTAATTTACGTTGTAACAGTTGTTAATAAGCAAATCATTATCATCTACTTATCATATATCTAAAAAGCGCTTTCATTAAATCTGCCTGAACTAATGGCTTGATTACAAGATGTTACTGTTTTATATTATCAAAAAGACAGGTCAATACTTTTAGGACTCTTTTATTCGATAATATAAAGCTCCCATTAAAAGGGTATTTAGAATAAGGGTGTTTATAGTCAATGGTTTGAAAGCCTACTGCATAACTTGTATCTACATGCTTGATGAATTTACTTGTGGTTGATTATGATTCTAACCGCTCTGTTTTCTGCATTCTTTACAATACCATGCTGTCTAAGGGGTCATCATCGGGGATCTAACTAATGGGCTTATTCTTTGATGTGTTAATTCTATTGTTGATTACAATAGTTATGACAGTGAGAAAGATCGCATTGTTTCTGTTCTTTCTAAATTTGGATATCAACTTTCCAAAAATAGAATTTAGGCGTCAATACCATGCCTAACGATGATGTGTCATCAAAGTGCATGTATTACTTCAATTACAGACGCTTTCCGCTCTCCAAGTCGAGCTTAATGTTGTGAAGTGTGAGAATTAATATAGTCGTTTTTTATTATAAAACTATTCTGTGTTGGCGATAATATCAATCAAACGTATAATTGTGTGTGACCATGAATCCATAATAAGACCCACGTAGTGTTATTTGTTTATTTCTTCGAACCAAATCCTACCCTTTTGCGCATTGTAATTAGTGATTTTCTTGATCCAGAGGTCAATGTTAGAAGGAGAAAGATACGCCACAGAGAAGCGTTCAAGTGTGCATCTAAAGTCGACAGCCGCCTATATGGTTGCACGTAGTTGACATAAAGCAATCAAGGGCTAACCACCAACAAGCAACTTTAAAGTCAAAGAGCAAAGATACAACTTGAAACACCAATTGCCATCGAGCAGCTGAATCATGTTACCGTTCAGGGGCTGAAATTCAATATGCTGAACTGCGTTGTAAAAGGGAGACCGTGCAACAGGTCGTTGCGTGATTTCCTTGTCATCAACATCACCAAAATTTTTACACGTTTCAATTGCGTACAGCCTGTTTTAGGACTGGTGGAAGGCAAGGAGCGAATTTCACTTGGCACGCTGTTGCCGACAAAAGGATGATTACACCTTTTGTTGATTGCTTTGGCATTAATGTCGCAGTGATTAAGGAAAATCCCAAAGGGCTGCAAGCTGTCTCTCTGCAAGGTGACTTTCATAAGGTTCTGATATTTAAGCCTTTGTTGGACAAACGGCTTTGATATTGTCGTGTGACATTGCTAGTAGCTGTTGCCTGTTTGTCTACATTTAGGCCAAAGTTTGAGACGCTTGGAAAGTGGAATAGCTGTGATGTTCTTCAGTGATTCATCAAGCTGAGCTTTTGTTGCTAATGGTTCATCACGTACGTTGTGCATCACATTGAAGAGAATTCGTTTTTGCCTTGACGGTGCAAAAAAGAGAAAAAGTAAAGAATACTGTGATATGTTTCGAGTAGTAAAAGAAGAAACCTAGATGTATGTTGATGAGCCTCTTATGTATTAAGAAGAAGAAGGAAAGGTTGTTCATTATCACAGTATCGTCATTTTATATGCAAACAGGATTATTACGTAGCCAATGAGAGTTGAACATGACACGTTTTGTTAGAATAACATGTATTGTTGTCAGTCTCTGTGTATTGTTCATTCTTAGAGTAAAAAACTATAGTAATCGCACAAAGCATTTGAGGGTGAATACGGCAAACACCAAAGAAAAGATTTCACTTGATCTTGCTGTCCACTTTTTTACACACAAATACAACTTTTAGCCAATTCATTTCTGGCGCATAGTCTTAAGTTTTTCGGTTAAAGTTTTTTTATTTCGTGGATGAATTTACTCTTAGAGCGTCATAATTTTTCTTCTCTACTCTTCGTTCAATTAAATTTTCTTCCAAACTTTTTTGACCCTTGTTCCCAAAAGGGATTTTTTATTAAATTCTATTTTACTTTATTATGTTGAGCTAATCTGAGTAACTAAATGTGTATATATCACGCGCTCAATTGGACTATTAAGTAAGAACTTCTTTAAACTTTTTAGTTTGCGCGCTCGAGGCATTGGATAAAGAACCGAGCATCTATCAAATAATAAGAGCAGTGAATTTAACCACTGCAGTTGACCAGAACAACTTAGTAAACTTCAAAATTGGCAATAGAAAGTACATAGCTTTATAATCGCGATCCTTAATCAATTTCTGAATATCACAGACTATATGACAAGATAATGGTCCTCTATTCTATGTCTATCGAGCGTATTCATAGCGCCAGTTAGAAATTTTCCAAAAAAAAGTTCAATACGTATGCCCTTCACCAATATCTCCTTTTTTTTTGATAAAGCGTTTTTTCTCTGAATAACCTTTGGCCTACATAGGGAAGAAGTCAATTACTTCTTTTTCACAAATAGCTCCAGTGACCGTAATTGTAATACCTCTGCTCGAAGGAAGTTCAGTCTTTGCGGCTTTCCGTGAAATATAATGAATGGTCTGTAAAAAATAAAGCACGGTCCTCAAAAATAAAAATTAAATACAGAGATTTGGAGTAAGAGAACCAATGTGATCAATATTTTATGATCACCAAGTGACTTCGACCAGTATTGCTTATTGTTTTCTTGATTTACCACAAGTTTATTTTCTTTTTATTTATTTAAGAAGATAAAGGGGAAAGGTTTAAAGTATGTAGTTAATTCCACAATATAACCAAGTAAAGAGAGTAATCAAAATACATCTAGTTTGCTTATGTATGTCATGATATGTCTAAGTTTTTATTTTTATAAACGTAAGTTTATTACACTTAATTATGCACCATTTTATGATTAAAGCAAGCGAAAAGATTCCTTTTTCTGAAAGTAATACAAATGGCTATATATCTAAATTGGAGATAAAGTAATATTTAGGTGAGTGTGCGTTGTCTTTTATAAAATAAACCATTAAATCTGTCACTATGCGAAGTGAACTGAATATTTACATTATAATGTTATGCTAAAGTAATAATCAATGTACGAATTACAAAAGTTGCATATGTTACATATTATCTAGTATTTTGGTGCTGATTTTTCGTAAAATACTTTGTAGTCGCTTTAAGCGCTTTACGCGAAATTAATAACACAGCCTGGGATTTTTGATAACATTTGCTTTTTTTTTTGTAAAACTTGTTTTTATCTATAATCCAGGATTAAAGTAGTTTATATTTCTTTTTTATATTATTTTGTGTAAATGGTATGTGGTACAAACAGAAAAGAGAAAGGCAAATAGAAAGCAAAGACTGAGGTCATGCTGTATAAAATGCAATCATTTACAGTTATTTTTTACTAAAAATATATAAATATATATATAAATGCGCTGATTAACATTTTCAAATTCTTTTATTACCAAAATACATTTAATATAACACAGTAATCAAACAATAAAAAAAAAAAAAATGAATAGTCAGTTTAAGACGTTGCTTGATATTTTACTTTAAACTACTTTAAATGCTTACATACGCGCATTATTTAAAGCATATTTAGCTGTGTAATAATTATCAGATTTTGCTTGATAAAATAAACGAATATTATTGTTAGGTGCATAAGTTAATGTAGAACGCGTAAAATATGACAAGTCTAATTGTGAAGCAGTGCTCTATTCAGGCAATTTATTCTCTTTTAGTAATAGAAAGCTTGTAAACAAGCGGTACATTGCTTTAGCGTATCTTTTAGCTATTTTCTGGGAAAAGTAAATGGATCAAGGATTTATGCAAACATGTAGCACGCTTTGCTATTCTTTTCATACATGTTGCTAGTAGAGTACATCTAAACGTTCATTCTTGTGATAAAGACTGCAGACTGTTGCTCATATTTAGTTAGGATGAAGAAGAATTGTAATAAGGATGATGCATTATTCTATAGTCTTTGCTCTACTGTAGTGAAGTATTCTCGTTTAATGTCAAAGTTCATTTATTGTTTGAATGTTTCAATTTCCGCATTTTGGTAAGAGTTTTTTTTTTTCTTTTTCTTTTTTTTTTTTTATCTTTCCTTTCTCCCCTTTCTTTTCAGACTTTATCAAATGTCATCAGGAAAAGTGTATTCTGCTGTATATTCTGGTGTACAAGTATATGAAATGATGATTCATGGGATTGCAACAATGGTTCGAGGGTCAGATTCATATTTAAATGCAACACAAATCTTAAAAGTAGCAGGATTTGAAAAGACACAAAGAACCAAGATATTAGAACAAGAGATTACTGGTGAATTTGAAAAGGTACAAGGAGGATATGGGAAATATCAAGGAACCTGGTATATATATATATATAAACTCTTTTTTAAAGCTCTTTAACCTCTCTTTATATTAGGGTTCCTTTTGAGAAGGGAAAAGCCTTGGCAGAGAAATATCACGTACTAGACATCATGATGCCCTTACTTAGCTTTGATCCTTCTAATGTATCCTCAACTGAACAAATACCAACAAAGGAACAAGCATTAACCGAACAATTATCTCATTCACCGCCTTCGTCACCAGCAGATTATCATTCGTCCATTGAAAAACATCGACATAAACGACCCAAACTAAACAGTCCAACGTCACCCCGAGAAGGACCGTTATATGAGCAACAACGAAACATGTTGATGAATATATTCTTGACAGAGGATTTTGAGAAATCAGCTGAAGACCTTAATGCTTTGTTGTTGTTGGATAACTTTGATGTCGATCTTGTGATTGATGAACAAGGGCATACAGCATTACATTGGGCAGCTGCATTAGGAAAAATACCCGTTGTGCAATTTCTGATTGAAAAGGGCGCTAGTATATGCAGAGCTAATTACGATGGAGAAACACCATTGATGCGTGCAGTCATGATAACATGTTGCTATGAAAGTAAATGTTTTTATGAACTTGTTGAAATAATGAAAGACTCTGTGGGAGTCACGGACAACCGTGGACGAACGGTCTTGCACCATATTGCACTTACTGCAGGTGTGCCTGGATATGCAGATGCTGCTATTTATTATATGAAAATATTGTTAAAGCTGATACCAAAGAAGAGTCAGATTAGATATGTCTTGGAAGTGAAAGATAGAGTTTTCTCAGAATCGGCATTGGCTATTGCCATGAGACTGGAATGCCAAGAGATAATCGATCTACTAATCAAACATGGTGCTCTGGTAAGTTTTTTTTGTACCGAGTTTGTTGTATCTTATATTATAAAAAGGACCCAATCATACCACGTAAAGATCCTGATACGTTTATGGAACATTCACCCACAGAATATCGATCAAGTGCTAAAGGACGTGATTTAGTTCATTGTAGGTGTTTTTAATAATAATAAATATGAATCTAATATCTATTATAGCTGTTCAGCTCATGGTAGACAGATTAGAAGAAGAATACCAAGATCAGCTAAGACGTAAGGATAAGGAGGCGTTCAGAAGAGAACAAGAGTTAAAGTTGGTCAAATATGAGTTAAAAGAGGCACTCAAAAGATTGGAGCTCCCGACCACAGTTCAATTAGCAGAAGCAAGAAAAAGAATAAGAGAATTGGAGGATGAGGTGTTTAGGTTTGAAAATAAAAAGATAGAATCAACAGATGAAACCGACAACAATGGCTCGGCTAACGATGCAACAAGTAAAGACAAACTGATAAAATCACTGCAGCATCAGCTGGATACAAGCCTGCAGACTATTGAGCAGTTAAAACTAGAAATAGAGTTAGTCAAAGAAAGAGAGATGGAGTATAAAAGACTCATCGCAACATGTTGCAATACGCCTCTTGAAAAATTAGACATACTTATCAAACCATTGACTTTGGCTATTGAAAACGATCCACCTGATTTGGACATGACCCGAGTAATTGGGTTTATGGAGAAACTGCAACGACGTGGGTCTGTCAATAGCAACTCAGGTACACCTCATGATCTATCATCAACCCCTACATTCTAAGCATTTCATCTGTAAATACAAGATATCTGTATATTTTTTTGCATGAATAAACAATTATTTATTAAACCCCACCTTTCTTTACATTAAAGAAACTTTTGATGATAAATATTTGTATGGCAGCCATTGAAACAATAGCAAGACTTTCCAATACAGAAAACCAAAATAGTCTACTTTTTGTAGAAGCCACAGTGGCTGCGTTACGGTTCTCTCTTGTACGGAAATGCCTCTGTGTACGAGCAATCTTTGTCAAGTCACCTGAAAGCCTAAAGATAGTTTCTTCCATTTCAGTCAACGTAGGTTGCTCTTTTCCAAAAGCATCCTTTTTGAATTCAGGACGAACTTCATGTTCAAGAAGGATTTCAAAGTCAATGAGTTTATCAGTCAGTGTTGACATTTCATTAGAAAAACAGAATGCATATTCTCCAGGTTCATTGGCTGTAAAGACGTAATCTCCCTGGCGTTCCTGAATTCCGCTAAGGATAGATTGACGTTTGGGTCCAAGCACATTAAAATCGACATCAAAGGAACCGCCTTGTTGAACCTATATAGATTTCAATAGAACTGTTATCGAAAAAGAAAAAAAAAAAAAAGGAATTACAGCAAAATAGAAGCCAACTTTTTTTCCTGGTGTATCGTTCCAAACAAAGAAACAAGCGTATTCATGAGCCTCGATTTTATATGTTAATGCAGTTGCATCAGCAGCGTTTGCAAATAAACAAAAGCAAACCAAGAAGAAATAAAGTAGCATAAGAGAAAAAGATGAAAAATAGGCGCGGAGAGAAAAAGAACGACGTCAAGCCGAGTCATATCACTGGGCACCCTTTTTTTTGTTTTTATTTCTTTATCAATATGCTCCAATATTTAAAGACCAAAGAAGAGAGAGAAGCGTTTATAGATAAATATGACAATTTTTTGTTTGACTGCGATGGTATATAGAAAGAGACAAATGCTCATCATGCTCATCGTCAATTAGGCGTCTTGTGGGAAGGAAATAGAATGTTTGACGGCGTACGCGAATCTATGAAACTGTTGAGAGAAAAAGGTTAGAACAAGGGGATACAAGAGGGGATGATGTACTCATATTTATTTAATAGGCAAACATGTCTGCTTTGTCACAAATAACAGCACAAAGTCTCGCAAATCTTATTTGAAAAAGTTTGAAGACTTTGGTATTGAGGCTAAAATAGTATGTTTTTATATATCTTTATACGTCTAATAGTTTGCTCATATTGTAAAATAGGAAGAAATCTTCACATCGGCTTTTGCTACTGCTACTTATTTGAAGAATGTGTTAAAGTTTCCAACAGATAAGAAGGTATACATCATAGGTATGAAAGGTATCAAGGAAGAATTGGCCTTAGAGGGTATCCAAAGCTGTGGAGCTGAAGTGAGTTCAACTAATGAGTCATGTATGATATACTTATCTTGAGAACATAGGAAGATAGTGGATTATTTGATAACGATCCTGTCCCTGATGACAAGGATGTGGGAGCTGTTGTCGTTGGACTTGATACTCAAGTGAACTATAAAAAGTATTCAAAGGGTTTTGCTTACTTAACTAGAAATCCTGGATGTTACTTTATTGTAACCAATGAAGACAGTACATTTCCTCAACATGGATCCTTTTATCCAGGTATATATGATTGAGTAAACTAGAGAAGAGGTGGTGTTAATCATATACAGGTGCTGGTGCAATTGCTGCTCCTCTTATCACGGCCCTTGATAGACGTCCTGATGCAGTCTTGGGTAAACCAGCGTTGAATATGCTAGAGGCAATTTTTGCAGAATACAAGATAGATCCTTCCAAGACAGTTATGATCGGAGATAGACTGAATACAGATATAGAGTTTGGACTAAACGGAGGCATTGACACCTTGTGTGTGTTGACTGGTACGTTACATATTTTAATATATAGTCAAATATCTTATCCCTCTCTTTTTAGGTGTTACTACCAAAGACGAGTTATTATCTGAAGAAAACAAAGTAAAGTCTACTTACTACATAAATGGCTTTGGTGACTTTGGTCAAAAATAAAAGAGTTTCTACCCCCGGGTAACTTTAATGACTAAGATATTCATATGGTTCTTTACAAAATTCATTACTTGGATACCGAGATGTCTAAGGATTCTCCTAACTCTACGCCAACGGCTCTCCGTGCCCCTGTGTGTTTCTGTATTACAGATAAAGAAGCTACCAACATTCTTGTTGGATGATTTATGTGACCATTTTGAGCTACTGTATTTCAAAAGTTATTCACGACAGAAACAGAAAGGATCTTGAGTCGTATATATACTTGTGTGGCCCCAGTACCGCTCAAGGGTGATTTTAATTTGTACTGTGATCAAATAAAATAAAAAGATAGCCCTTTCTCATTGTAGAATATTGTATTTAACTTGGGCGTTAGAGCAGTAACATGGTTCATTCGTAGTCAATAAGTGATACAGCCTGAAAGATTTATTAAACACACAGGTTACTCAGACCCCTTTAAAGCGCACTGGCTTTGGTCCCAACCATGTAATAGCCATTGTTCCTTAAGATCAACTTCTATCAAGAAAGATGGTCACGGAGTTCAAAAAGTTGAAGAATGTTGTGTAAATAGTAGCATTGGTGTTGCTAAAGACTTCATTTATTCTGGAACAGATAACAGAATCGTTACAATGGCAAACACGGTCGGGCTCACTTTTACAAGATTCAAATTTTATCTAGAACTTTATAACAGCTATCAAGATTTAAGTGGCTACGATGATAGTGCAACAGATATTGTAGAAAAAAATAACGAACTTGGTCAAGGAAATGATTTTTTGAAGCAGCCGATATTGACGTTGGTTGTGGCTACCAGAAGATTAGAAAAAAAAACGCGAAAGAAAAGGGCAGCAGAAGAAGGAAAAAAAAGTTCAAGCAATAGAAAAAAAAGTGTAAAAGTTGTCACTTACAGAGGTATCAAAAGTTGAAGAGGCTCAAGAAATTTGTAACAAGCAGCGTCAGTATCGTCCTGCTTTCAGAAACTTTTACAAGTCCAAAGCTGAAGCAAACAATCCAAGGTTTTTGTAAATACAGAGCAAAAAATACCCGCAAAAGATATGCTCATCCGAAAGGCGGTTTGTTAGAAAGCAACGAGGTAATCTTAGCATTAATGCATACATAACAATTTCTGATCGCATCTTATTTTAATATATAAATGCTGCTACGAAAGCTAAACCAATCATGTTCATTGGCGATAGAGGAACCAATGTTGGCTCAAGAATCAAGACGGATCTAAGGTATGGAGGAGCTTGGAAGTAAAAGCTCCATGGACAAGAAACCCACGTCTGTATCACCAATGAAAACACGACTTCGCAAACATGCATGTATTGTTTCCGCAAGCTAGATCATCCCATTCACAAAAGAATGATTAAGGAAAAAGAAGCAAATGTCACAAGCAAAGGATCCTTCATCTACTGTAACCCAAAGTGTGTCTTGGCGACCAAAAGACAACCTGTGAAATCGAGAGATACACTCTCAGCCATGGCAATAGGTCTGTCAGACCTTTCATATCTTTTATTTCACCAAACATTCTCCTGTTTTGAAACTAGCCTCAGTCAAACAAATACTGAATTTAACAACATCACCTCTTCCTTCTTGAATGTAAGAGAACGATTGGGCAGTAACGATATCACTAGATGAAGTACAAAATAGAATCTTTGAAAGACGCTTACAGACTAAATTTTTGCTTAGAACTTTAAATTCTTTCGGGGATTTAGCGTTCTCGTGATAAAATCCAGCCTGCTGCCCTTTTTTTTGCCCTTTTTTTTTCTTGTTTAATTAACAAAAAAAAATAAGATGAGCAAAGCAGTATGTATTCATCTCTTTAAAATAAACAAAAAGACTTATTCTCTCTCTTTGTAGCCAACTCAGGAACAACTCGATGGTAAAAAAAAAGAGGGCTTAGACTAACATCATCTTGTTACTAACACTTTAACATCAGAATGGAAGGAAGCCTTTTCTTTATATGATAAGAAGGGTAATAGTACTGTTTCTTCTAGTAACCTTGGTGACCTCTTGAGAGGCCTTGGTCAAAACCCTACTCAAGCTGAAGTACGTGAACTCATTAAAGAAACTGCCAAATCCAAAAACATCCCTGAAAACCAAGGCAAGTTTAAGTCTACGTGTATGTGTGTGTGTGTATTGATATTGTTTTAGAATTTGATATTGATTTTGGTACCTTCTTGTCTATCCTCACGCGACCTGATGGTTTTAAGCCCGCTGGCTCCTCTCAAGAATTTATTCAAGGATTCCAAGTCTTTGATAAGGAAGGAGATGGTTATATCTCTGCTGGTGAATTACGTTATGGTAAATAGAATGGATCCAACTGTTTATAAGCTCACACTTTTATCTAGTCTTGACTAACCTTGGTGAGAAATTAACTGATGAAGAAGTTAATGAACTCTTGAAGGAAGTTGAAGTTGGCAAGGATGGACGTATTAATTATGTTGGTAAGTCAAAGAAAGACCAAAAGAAAACTCGTTTATTTAAATGTTCTGAAACAGATTTTGTTACCGTCGTTTTATCAAACTAAATCTTTCAATAAATATACCGTGAATGATATTAAAATTTATTGCGAATCACTGTATTTATCCACTGCATCAAAGTTACATTGAACTTTATGCACAATTCCTGTACCAAAGTCAGCTTCCATACGTATTTCAGTCAGACCAAAGTACATCCTACATAATTTAATATTTGCTCTTGTTTTTTGGTGTGTTTATTTACCTCACAGTGTATGCTACCCTCTCTCCATGCGCCACACGTGGCATGTAAGGAATGGGTACTGATATAGCAGCCACTTGTTTTACACCAGGCTCATCGTAATATCTTGGTTCTCTATCTTCTTCTGTTGCATAAAGTAAAATATCAGTTGCCTTGATTGTTCCATAATAAACAAACATTCTTTCTTTAATACAGTGATCCACAGGTATGACGTCTCCTTTCTTTACAAAAACAAGGAATCGAGTCGTACAGCGAATGCTACCATCTGGACGAATCACTCGAGAAGAGGGTGGGTCTATGGATTCATCAAATGGAAGGCCGGCATTGATACCATAGGTACGGCGGGATACTCGAGACGTAATCAGACGAGGGTTCAGGCCAAAGTAGACGGCACCTCGAACCACAGCCATGGCGGCTCTTGGCGGACATAGGATTTGCTTGACGCGGTCTTGGAATGTTTCTTGAACTCGTTGAAATAGATAGTTGGACGAACCAAAGCCTCCGACAAGAAAAATGCAGGATACCCTCTGGTCGGATACTTGGTTATACTGTTTTTCAATCAAGGCTAGCTAAATATAGATGATAAAAATATACTGTTGTGTATTCAGAAACGTCCACTTACAACACGCCGCACCACAGGTTCAAACACTTTTTCTTTTAAATCTTGTGCTCTTAATATCATCGTCCCTTCATCCAAACAATCGTCATCCAGCTGACTTAGATCAATAGAGACGGGTATATTCAGGTATTGGTCATCTAGTCCATCAAATTCGGGTTTTATGTTATCGATGAATTGATCCATCAAGTTATTGATCGTCGCAGGCGGTAGATCCTTGACCTGATCTCCTAGCTTTTCTTCTAGTAAAGCTCTGAAATTGTAATCCAAAAAGACACTTCCACAACTTTCGCCCATTCCCTTTGTCACTTCCTTCAGCCTGTGATTACTCTGTATGTTTTCATCCATGACTTCAAACAGGATCAGGTCAACAGTACCTCCACCTGCATCACAGATCATGATGCGATCTCCCTTCTTCAAATTGACTTGTTCACACATACGCTCACAGTATAACGCAGCTGCTTCTGGCTCTGAAATTAAAATCAGTCTATCCTGTGGATCATCGGCATGAATCAAGCCTGCCTTGATGGCAGCCCTTCTCATGTAAAACTTTGCCAAGTCGGACCACATGGCAGGTACAGTCAAACAGTATCGGAATGTCTCTGGTGGATAATTCTTGGCAAATCCTCTGGTCACTTCATCCAGAACATGCTGATGAAGACATGTCAAGTAATCCGCAATATTGTCTACGGGTGATCTATATATACGATATCAGTCCCTCCCATCAAGTAAAATAAAAAAAAAAGACACCTCTTGTTTATATCCAATGATCCTCTCAAAAAGAGAGTCTCATCCAGTCGAAGCTTGAAATTGGTTAAAATAAAGTGTTCCTTGGCAGCTTGTGGTTTTGACATCAATTTCTTGGCACTATGACCCCACTCGACAATCGTGCTTGGATCCGACTTTTTGTATGCTGATATCGAAGGTGTCTTGGGATAAAAGTTACCGCCTTTCTGTGGCCTGAATTGACAAGTCAATAAAGAACAAGTAGAAGGGGGATATCTCTTACCATTTTTGTATATCAAAAACTTCAGGCACCGTAGTATGTGTGAATGCATAAGAAGCGCCTGAGAATGTGGTGCCAAAGTCATAGGCAATGACTACTTTGTAATTGTCTTGTTGAGATATCATGGTGTGGAAAAGAAGAAGAAGAAGAAGAAAAAGAAAGAATATGCTGGTATTTTTCTCGGCTCATGTCACTGCTTAACGCAGTGTTTCACAAACTTATGTGGCTCATGTTGTACTGTGTATTTTACTTTTTTTTTTTTTTTTTTTTTTTTTTTTTTTTTTTTTTCTTCTTTTCTTCTTCTTCTTCTTGTTGGGAGAGTTTTCAAACATGGTTGTTCCATTTTCTGCTGAAGATTATCCTATCGTCATAGGTATTGACTTTGGTATGTATGGTGTAATAAAAAGAAATAAAGTCTGAATTTTAAATGTCATGTTCAGGAACGACTTATTCTGGCGTGTCTTATTCTTTTATGAATGATAATGAAATTGTTGATATCAATAAATGGTATCTACAGTCCTTTTTGTATTTGGTGTGTATATAATAACATCATATATAGGCCAAGGCAGCCAGATTATAGTTATCCCAAGGTAAGAATATAGACGAATGCTATTTAACTAGTCTTATTTTATTGCATGACAGGTTCCTACAGTGTGTGTAAGTTTGTTGGACAATCTCAAAAAGCTATGTATTTACATTTTATATTCTATTTAGCAATACAGCCACGAAACTGGAGTAAGAAAAAAAAAAGGTACAAGTGTATTTGTTATTCAATATGTAGTATAGAAATTAGTTCAGTGGGGAAGATTCGCAAGATCCAATAAAGCAGACCAAGGAAACATACTCGTCATACAACAATTCAAAATATACCTCGATGAAAACCCACAGAGACCATTGGCTAATTTACCATTAGGCTTAACTCCTACTGTTATCATATCTGGTAATATATATATATATATATATATATATACGAATAAACTAAGCTGATTCAACCTTAGACTATCTGGAAAAAATGTTTACCTATGTCAAGACATACATGAATCAAAAGGGATTCAGCAACGATTTTGAAAAAAAGGCCCGTTTCTGTATCACAGTAAGTGTATCAAATACAGAATTGTGCCTTTATCAACACGACCTCTAGGTTCCAGCTATGTGGTCCGATCAAGCAAAGCAAATCATGAGAAATGCAGCTATTCAGGCTAAATTGATCCATTTGACAGATCATCGTGATAGGCTCATGTTGATTTCAGAACCTGAAGCTGCAGCTCTCTATTGTGAAAGGACGTGTGATAAATTTGATATGAAGCATGGAGATGAATTTATGATTTGTGACGCTGGAGGTACCTAACAACATAGAATATGATTCATCCTTTCATTTTTAAACACAAACAGGCGGAACGGTTGATTTGATCGTCTTTAGGCTCGAGAAAGGATTGGATGGAAAGACAGTATTTAGGGAGAGTACAAAAGGACTAGGAGAGACGTGCGGGTCGATGTTTATCGACTTGAACTTTAGAAAGCTGTTACGAAAGAGATTAAAGAAAGTGTTGCGTCCATCAGCTAATGGTAAAGTGGAGATCCCTTCAGCACCTTTTGAACATATGATGGATGTCTTTGTTGGTAAATATGAATGAAATGTTCAAAAGGAGAAGGCTAACTTCTAACTGTAGACAGCTCTAAGCCATTGTTTGACAACACTGATGACATTTACTGTTCTCTGCCTATGGGATTTGATTTACTCAGGAAAACAGACCCATCAATAGGCTTAGATGAAGGCACGATCACGTTTACAAAGGAAGAAATAAAGAAGAATGTCTTTGATCCTGTCATCCAAAGGGTCATTGGTCTCTGCCGTCAACTACAAAAGGATACTACCAATCTAAAGGCTATTTTCATGGTGGGTGGTTTTGGCTCTTCTGCTTATCTTTATCAACAAATGGTAAAAGAGTTTTCACCTGAAGGAATCAAGATAATTCAGCCTGATAGACCAGGTAAACCAAAAAAAAAAAAAGAATACAACAATTGACAACTCTCTTTGTAGAAATGGCAGTGGCTCGTGGAGCAGTCATCTTTGGTTTGAATCCTACAAAGATTGCTACACGAATCCCAAGACTGTGGTATGGCATCAAGAGTGCATATCCATTTGACTATGAAATGGATCCTGATGAATACAAGGTGATTCGACCTGATGGTAGTGTTCGATGTGATAATCGTTTTTCTACCTTTGTTGAAAGAGGCAAACCTTTAGGTAATAGATATCCTTTTTTTTTATTATTTTCTTCCTTAATAACCCCTGGATATAGATTTGGACAGCTGTATCGTTCGGCATTTTACCATCTACGCTCCTCACAAGACAGCGTGCTCTATCTTTGCTTCTGATAGTGAAACTGAACCAAGATATGTGGTCCCTTCTCCTCACAATAATGTCAAAAAGGTGTTTGACTGTGATATCCCTATGCCCCATTTACCCAACATAAAGCACGGCGATCCTATACCACTGACGATAAAGGTAATAATCATGTTGAATGAACCTATCTAATATTTTACAGATGTACTTTGGTGAAAATGAGCATCGAGTGGAAGCCGTTATTAACGATGTTACTTATAATGTTTCCTGTAAATTTGAAGTAGAATAAAGATGTTTTTTATTTATACAAGTTTTTTGGCTGTAAAGAAATTTTTATAGTAATGCATCTGCCAGAAACAAACAACACCCAAGACGGCAATTTGAGCAATGGTCCACCACACTGCACGAGAGTTGATCAGTTCGGATTGATCACGGAATGCTTCTTCTCGTTCCTATATACAAGGTAAGCCTTTTTGATTTTATACGTACACACAAACTTACACGCTGAGCATTTTGTTCAATTTGTATATCTTCAACACGTTCGTTTAATTCATGTACTCTTTGTACCAATTCTATATAAATAATCATACAAAGTTTAGTATTATCACTTTTCTTCTTTCTATTGATCATCTACCAGAGACGCCATCCGCATGATGATCATGGTGGTCAGTTGGATCATCAAAGTCCATATCAAAAGTAACTCTCTATCATAAAAAAAAAAACGAATCGTTATATATATATATAGTTATGTAAGGTTTTCTTACTGTCTTGGTATTGTCAAACCAGGCGTTTGATGAAGTAGAAAGACAGATGGCATGGTCTCCAGATTCAGCAGAAGTAAAAGTAAAGCGTCCAGATGAACCACCTTTTGTGTCTACAACTCTGTGACCTTGAGGAAGTTCCTAATGATGAACTCAGTGGGTGTTTTTTTAAAAAAAAAAGTGTAATAATATGAACCTCGACTGTGATTTCCATCTTGACATCCTTATTTTCAATCCATTCATTTTGAGTTGAAGAGAACTGCTCTGTCTTGTAAACACCTATTGATGTGTTTAATAAAAAATTAGGGATACCAAAACACTAATTACCAATGACCATGGTTTCTTTTGGTAAGTCTTCAATAAAGCATTTCTTCTCGGAACCTTCGAGATAAAAGTATAATGCCTGAGTATTGATTACACACAAGGCGAGTAATACAAGTGCAGAAAACCGTATGCTTGACATGTCTAATAACGCACGCGTGTGTGTCCTTGAAAGCAACAAGCGAAAATTAATGACTGAAGGAGTTTTTCAATGTTAAAATTAATAATCCAATCAGGACTCGCCAATAAAGTTGAATTAATTTGGCTGACTTCTCTCTCAAAGAGTTCAGGGCACGTGACTCTGCCCGATCACTATACTATTTGTACCAAAGAAACATTTCATTTGTATGCTGACTACTTTAAGTACGGTAATGAAAAAAGGATGATGGTGACGGTGGCGCTATCGGTGACGGTAATGCAAAAAGGGTGACGGATTGGTGATGGTAATGAATTATTTCTCTTTTTCCTTTGCCGCTTTGCAATACAACATTGCAAATTAATCTTTCAACTAAAAATAAAACTAAATTACTTAAAAGGGCTTATTCAAGTATGACTAAAGATTTAGAAAGTTTCAAATTACCATTGAAATGGAAACCGGGTGCTGATTTCATGAGCAAAATACTATTAAGCGATCCAGAAATAATGCGTATAATTATTCACTCTCTCTCATTGGTAATGCATCGATATTTGTATTACGCGTTTGAAAGTACTAATATATAAGTCGTATATAGATGTAGATGTTCCTCCTGATAGCTACTCAGTAGTTCCGACTAAGTGGGCTGACGGTAGTCGGTCAGACATGGTTTATGCGTCCACAAAATTCCCCCGATTTTAATTGAAATCCAATATCAAGTTAATCAAGAGTTCATGCTTAGGCTTATAAACTATACGTCTAATGTTTATAAGCGTTACAAAGTATTACCCATCGTTCTAGTTATTGTCACCAAATCTTTTTCTAGCGCTGAATTTCACCGAAATTATTGCTTTGGATGCTACATATCAGACTAATGGAAACAAAATGCCATTGATTAACGTTGTGCTATCAGCAACATAGGAAGAGTATCGCTACGCAATGTTCTTGTTGCTTCAGTAGTTGTTTCTAACGAGAAAACAGCGTCCTATGAATGGGTAGTCAAAGCCATGCGTGAGTTGCTCTGGTCGCAAGGAAATGTAGGGGCTTTCATTACGGACAACGAGAAGGCTTTGGTTAACTCGATCGAAAAAATTTTCCCGGAATCCATCCATGTGCTTTGTGGCTAGCACATGTCCAAGCATTTAACTTCGTAAATGGCTGGATGTTTTCCCGTTGAGAGCAAAGAAATAGCTGAATTGAACGAAGTCATTGGAGCAATGATATATGATACAAATAAAATCATTCACAATGAAGCAATCAAAAGGTGTAAAGATCTTGCAAAGCGCGCTTCGAGTTCAATGGTCAACATGGTGCAAAAGAAACGTGAAGTCCATGTAGCAAAGAAGAAGCAGTTGTTGAAAGAAGGTAGAAGATACCAATTTTTAGAAGAAAATGCTGCTGAAGAAGAGTACAATACTCAAGTTGAAAATGACTTTCAAAGCAAAGATAAAGAAATTGCCCAGAAGAAGGAACTGAAGATTTTGTCTTATTTTGACAGGTATAATATCTAAAGTTGATTGTATCTTTAGCCAGACTTTAATGATCATTTGAATACATTGTCCTGGAATATAAGGGAAAGTGTGCCTGTCCTTACGCTGGAACGATTCTCAACTTAGGCGTTCGTGCAACATCCCGTGTTGAAGGTACCCATTGGAGAATCAAAAACACTATGTAAACCACTGGAAGCCTTTATAGAACATTCAAGGCAGTCCATATGGTTATGCAAAAATCAGTAAGCGAAATTATCCAAAATGCCACAAAAGCCTAATGTTGTATTATAGATAGAATCGGAAAAAGAAGAGGTGCTTAAAGAAAAGAACAGCACGCCGATTTTCAGCGAGAAAGAAACCCAAGCTATAGGCCACCTTTTCGGGAAGGTATGCTTTTTCGCTATTTACAAAATACGGGCCGAGTTACATCTTGCCTGGAAAAGCGAAAGCTCTGGAGAGCACTACCAATGTGGTTGCCTCTCACGGTTAAATTTTGGACTTCTTTGTCAACGCATGATGAAAACCGATGGATATGCTGTGGATTTCCATGACATACCCAGTAGATGACTTTTAGACTATGATAAAGGCATTTGTTGGTCACAAAAATAATATTCTTATTTACA